CGCTCGTCGCAGCCGCAGAGCCTGTTACTCCTGTATTCCGGGACGCACTGTCTCGGTAGCCACTGAGAGCCTGCTGCACCAGTCGCCCGTGGGTCCATTGCTTCTGCCGCTCGTCGTAGCCGCAGAGCCAGTTACTCCAGTATTCCGGGGCGCTCTGTCTCGGTAGCCACTGTGTCAGCCGCCACTGTGTCAGCCGCTTCTGTTGCCCGTGTTTCTGCAGCTTCAGTCGTCGCCTCCCATCTTCTCTCCTTTCATAGTCCCTCCTCCTCCTCACTTGCCCTCTGTGATAGCCTCTAGCTTTGCTGATAATTATGAACTATTGCTATGACTGCTCATTGTGCTGATTACACCCCACTTTGGCTATGGGGGTGTGTCAGAATATGTTGTTTGTGTAGCCTGCAGTGGGGTACTCAATAGTGAGTACATCCCCTTAGGGTTTGCTATTTGTATCCTGCTGCTTGCTAGTTCAATCACTCCTTCTCAATTCTGTTCCTGCACACAATCCTAGCTCGTACTTGGCGCCTCCTTTCGTAGTCCTACTGTGGCCTAGGCTACTAAGCCTAGGCCGTACTCCTACTATATCTGACAGGTTCTGCTGGTTCTGCTGGTTCTGCTGGTTCTGCTGGTTCTGCTGGTTCTGCTGGTTCTGCTGGTTCTGCTGGTTCTGCTGGTTCTGCTGGTTCTGCTGGTTCTGCTGGTTCTGCTGGGGGCAGCCTACGTTGCTGCTGGTGCGCTGGGGGCAGCCTATGCTGCTGCTGGTGTAGCTGGCGGCAGTGTAATCGGCTGGGGCTACTGACGGCGGGTGTGGTAGGTCGTGGGGAGGCAGGTTTCAGGTGGGGAAGCTGTTAAGGCAGCGGGCTACGGGTGAGGCGGCGGTTCTGTGCAGTTCTGTGCGGTTATGTGCAGTACTGTGCGGTTCTGTGAGGTTCAATGCGGTGGAGAGGACTGGGTGGGGCAGCTGATTCCGGGTGAGGTGCCTGGAACGGGTGGGGCAGCAGGTTTCCAGGTGGGGCGGCGGTTGTCAGGTCTGGGGCGGTGGTTTTCAGGTGGGGAAGCTGTTAAGGCGGCGGTTCTGTGCGGTTCTGTGCAGTTATGTGCAGTTCTGTGCGGTTCAATGCGGTGGAGAGGACTGGGTGGGGCGGCTGATCCCGGGTGAGGTGCCTCGAACGGGTGGGGCAGCAGGTTTCCAGGTGGGGCGGCGGTTGTCAGGTCTGGGACGGCGGTTTTCAGGTCTGGGGCGGCGGGTTTCCAAGTTCGGCGGCGGTTTTCAGGTCTGTAATGGCGGGTTTTCAGGTCTGGGGGGCGGTTAAGACGGTGGGCTGCACGTGCGCGCGGCCGCGACGTACTAGCGCGAAGCTGCGGGTGCGACTAAGGCTGCGCGCGCAGCTATGCGCGTTCGTCTGCTGCGCGCTAGAGGGCTGGGGGGAAATGCGCGGGGTAAAACGAGTGGGGCGCGGGGCAGAAAACGAGTGACGCACGGCAAAAACGGGTGGGGCGCAGGGCAGAAACGGGTGACGCGCGATGTCGACGGGGGGGCGCGACCTACTCGGGCTCTACGGGGCAGGGCGCTTCGGGCTATGGGTCGCTACGAGGCGCGCGGGTGGTGGGCCCATAGACTATCGAGAGAAATTTCGCCTAAGGGAAAAAATCGCCTAGGGGAAAAATCGCCCAAGGGAAACCTAGCTCTATACCATGTTACGATAAGAATGAATTGATAGAAAATGTGAAGTACAACCCTAGATATAGCAAACCCTAATCATGCAAGTAAGTAGAAATGTAACACCTAGACTAACCTAAACAACACATATAAAATATATGTTGACAAGAGCGCGGAAGGTGCCGTCGAGGCCGGGTTGTTGATAATCGGTTTCTTCTGGGTGGCTCCATCTTGGCGGCGACGGGTGACCCGGAGGGTCAAGAACAAGAATGTGTTCGTTGTCGCCAGTGGTTTTGGGTGACTCGAAGTCGAGCACGAAAACGCCTTCCACACTTGTTGCCTTTCCGATGAATATGCCGTTGTATATTAAGTGCATTTCGTCTTCTGTCGTTTGCAGGCCAACCCCGCACTTCATCAGCTGGTGGAATGACAAGAGATTGTACCGGAGTTCCGGCACGATGAGAACATCGCTTATGTGGATGCAGTAGCCGGTGTCATGTGACTTCAGTTGCACCTGTCCGCGACTTCTGGCGTAAATAGTTTGGCTGTTGGCTGTTGGCGACGGTGATCTCCACTTCGTTGAAGAGTCGCTCTCTGTTGAGGACGAAGACATCTGAAGACACAATGTGCTGACCACAGCAGCTGTCCAGGTACCACTTTGTTGACTTCTTTTCTTGCTTTGGCCAGATTGGCAAGCTTCAGAGTGATGTGATGTTCCATGTCGTGATCATTTTCGTAGTCGTAGTAACATCCTTCGTCGTCGTATGCGATACGTGTAGGTGGCGACTCCTGAATCCACTCCGGCGCTTCCCAGTCGAACTGCATCCGTCCGATCGTTAACTCGTCGTAGGTTGGATCGTTCTCTTCTTCTTCTTCGACTGATCCTTTGGGCCGCTCCTGAGGCGGGTCTGCGAACATATCTTCCCAGCTGCGGAAGAAGCGGTAGTGACAGTTGGGGCGAGGCGGTCCACGACGCACCATGCAAGTCAGGACCTTGATTTTGCCCTTGTCGCTTGTGTTTGCAGAGAGACGCGCCGGGGCTTGGGACGTGCTGGCGACGGCTGGCGGCGACACAGTTTGGTTGCGCGCTGCGGCTCCTTCTTTCTGGTGAGCAGCGGCACCCTTCTGGTTGTTGTTGTTACCGTTCAGCTTCCAGCAGTCTTGAATCATATGCCCAGTCTTCTTGCAGTACTTGCAGAAGAGTCTTCTTGTCCGGTGGCGCTTGTGTGTAAAAGGCGATCTTCTCCTTCTTGTTGCCTCTTTCGTTGTACAGGTTGATTTCCTTCTGCTCGGAGAGGAGCGTGGAGCAGAGGGCAGTCTCACTGAGAGTGCCTTGTGTGCGCAGGAGGGACTTGCATTGGCGCCATTTCGGGCTCAATCCAGCAAGGATGATAGTGACGAACATGTCGTCAGGGAAGTTGCCGCCGCTTTTCCTGAATTGGTCTCTCAGGTTCCTGCAGCGGTTGACGTATGGTCCGGCCTTTTCGCCGGGAAACATCTTGACGTTGTTCAGCTGGTTGAGCAGGCGACCGAGTGTCACCGAATCTGTTGCCATGTGGCAGGTGCGCAGGTGTTCCCAGGACTGCTGCGCGGGCGCCCACTCGTGTTTGAAGGGGCGAATGCTCAGCTGCTCTTCGGGCGACAAGTTCCGGATCAGGACGGTGAAGGCCAGGAGCGATTCATTGTAGTATTGCGTCTTCTCCTGAGGTGCTAGTAGTTCGAATTCGAAGCTCCACGTGTAGAAGTCTTGTCCATCGAAGGGCTTGGTAGTTCTGAGCTTCGACGTGGAAAGGAACTTGCTCTGCATTGAAGCCATTGCCTCGTAATGTGTTTGTTGTGCTTGAGCAGATCCTTGAGCTCCGCGGTTATCGAAGGTGAAGGATCGTTCGGATCCAGCTCCTTGAGGATCGGGAGGTCTTCGGGCATAACTTGAGCCGTCAATGCTCATTGGCTGGTGGCTCTCCAGTGCACTGATGCGGGAGATCAGCTGCTCGAGGAGCGCTGTGTCCACGGTCGTCGTAGTAGAGGCGACATTGGTGGAGGGTTGCACTGGATTTTCTCCAGCCTCTCCGCAGTCTGCGCCTGGCATATTGATGCCCTTGATGTTGATGATGTTGAGATTAAGTTTTAAAGAAGCTTTGTTGGAAGCCCCTTTAGAAGATCCTATAATCCAAACTAGCTCTCATACCATGTTAGAGTGAGGACCTTGGATAGGATAGGAGGTGCTTTTGGTAGAGTTGGTAGCGGAAGTCTTGTAAGAGCTCAGATCATAGTGAATGTAAATGACCAAGTTGATTAAAAGATAGAATACAAGGAATATAAATAGTCATAGTCTAGCCATGTACTCGAAGGGGTACATTCCCTTATTATAACTGTTTTACAGGCATTTCTACAGTGACTCTGACTGTTGTACTACCTTCTTGTTACCAAGTCGCTGCATGTAACCTGTACGGTTACGCCTGTTGCTATTCCTCGATGGTAAGTCAAGCGTCGGTCCAGATGGTCAACAGTCGCGATAGTTGACTCTTGCGACTGTTGACCTTCCTGCCCTTGATACGGGCTGATCCGATACTGCGAACGTTGCTGCTTCGACAAAGTCAGGTGCGATACTGCTGCACCTACGGGAATGCTAAGTATGATTCCCTTCACACTCCAACAAAAGTAATGCCAATGTATCGCATCTCATATTTCAATCTCTAGAAATGATTGGTTAATTATGGTATAGAATGCATAAGAAGATAAGAAAGAAAGTAGATGTGTGGTTGTTAGATACATTTACACTAAACATAGAAAACATAAGGCGAATCTAGAATACAACAAAATCACGTTCCGCTCAATAAAGGAGGTTTCAGCAGCGTTCGTCCACGGTCGCAGCATTGGAGTTCGTCGCGTCGCCCGTCGCTTCCCACCCAAAACGCCTCACAGAGCTTCTTCACGAGGAGTAAGGATGACGACCCTCCGTGCCGCGCTTCATCCTACCATGGCCGCGACGCTCAACTCGCAGCAGCTCGCCGTGTTGCTCACATCGCACGCCCACCTCGCATCCGTCGCAGCACCCCCGCGTGCGACTCCTCGAGCAGTCGCCCAGCCGCCTTTGCGATCGTCGCTGTTCGCCGCCAGCACTCCACTGCGTTCGCGGAGTCGCCGGGCCTCCTGGGCTGCCGGCGGAGAGCAGCGCGCGGCGCGCGCACGGCGCACAGGCCCGGCGGGGCGCGTGGTGGTGCCCGCGGCGGTGTTCGACCAGCTGAGCTGGAGCCTGTAGCAGGCGTGGACCAAGCTGTGCTCGCAAGGTGCTCATCGGAGCGCGTGTCCGGAGCGCACTGACCTGCGGCTCCAATTCGGAATGCCACATGCATCCCCCACCGCCCCTCCCCCACTGGCGCCAAAGTTGAGTCTGGCGGTGGTGCGGCGGTTAGTGCGCGAGGTGACGGAGAGGGCGGTGGGCGTGGAGGTGATGGAGAGGGCGGTGGGCGTGGAGGTGACGGAGAGGGCGGTGGGCGTGGAGGTGACGGAGAGGGCGGTGGGCGTGGAGGTGACGGAGAGGGCGGTGGGCGTGGAGGTGACGGAGAGGGCGGTGGGAGTGGAGGTGACGGAGAGGCGGTGGGCGTGGAAGTGACGGAGAGGGCAGTGAGCGTGGAGGTGACGGAGAGGGCGGTGGGCGTGGAGGTGACGGAGAGGGCGGTGGGCGTGGAGGTGACGGAGAGGGCGGTGGGCGTGGAGGTGACGGAGAGGGCGGTGGGCGTGGAGGAGACGGAGAGGGCGGTGGGCGTGGAGGTGACGGAGAGGGCGGTGGGCGTGGAGGGACGGAGAGGGCGGTGGGCGTGGAGGTGACGGAGAGGGCGGTGGGCGTGGAGGTGACGGAGAGGGCGGGGGGCGTGGAGGTGACGGAGAGGGCAGGGGGCGTGGAGGTGACGGAGAGGGCGGTGGGCGTGGAGGTGACGGAGAGGGCGGTGGGCGTGGAGGAGACGGAGAGGGCGGTGGGCGTGGAGGTGACGGAGAGGGCGGTGGGCGTGGAGGTGACGGAGAGGGCGGTGGGCGTGGAGGTGACGGAGAGGGCGGTGGGCGTGGAGGTGACGGAGAGGGCGGTGGGCGTGGAGGTGACGGAGAGGGCGGTGGGCGTGGAGGTGACGGAGAGGGCGGTGGGCGTGGAGGTGACGGAGAGGGCGGTGGGCGAGGAGGTGACGGAGAGGGCGGTGGGCGTGGAGGTGACGGAGAGGGCGGTGGGCGTGGAGGTGACGGAGAGGGCGGTGGGCGTGGAGGTGACGGAGAGGGCGGTGGGCGTGGAGGTGACGGAGAGGGCGGTGGGCGAGGAGGTGACGGAGAGGACGGTGGGCGTGGAGGTGACGGAGAGGGCGGTGGGCGTGGAGGTGAAGGAGAGGGCGGTGGGCGTGGAGGTGACGGAGAGGGCGGTGGGCGTGGAAGTGACGGAGAGGGCGGTGGGCGTGGAGGTGACGGAGAGGGCGGTGGGCGTGGAGGTGACGGAGAGGGCGGTGGGCGTGGAGGTGACGGAGAGGGCGGTGGGCGTGGAGGTGACGGAAAGGCGGTGGGCGTGGAAGTGACGGAGAGGGCCGTGAGCGTGGAGGTGACGGAGAGGGCGGTGGGCGTGGAGGTGACGGAGAGGGCGGTGGGCGTGGAGGTGCCGTAGAGGGCGGTGGGCGTGGAGGTGACGGAGAGGGCGGTGGGCGTGGAGGTGACGGAGAGGGCGGTGGGCGTGGAGGTGACGGAGAGGGCGGTGGGCGTGGAGGTGACGGAGAGGGCGGTGGGCGTGGAGGTGCCGTAGAGGGCGGTGGGCGTGGAGGTGACGGAGAGGGCGGTGGGCGTGGAGGTGACGGAGAGGGCGGTGGGCGTGGAGGTGACGGAGAGGGCGGTGGGCGTGGAGGTGACGGAGAGGGCGGTGGGCGTGGAGGTGACGGAGAGGGCGGTGGGCGTGGAGGTGACCCGCGGCGTGCGGCGGGGCAGCAGCTTGCTTGCCTGCATTCTTATCGCACGTTTGATCGCGCTGCGCATGCAAAAAGTGAGCCACCACACTGCCTGCTCCACCACACGCACTGCACCGTACTCTACCGCATTCAACATCCATACCCTCACAGCTCTCACCGTGTCCTTCCTTCACCCCGCCCCATTCTCCCGCTTTCCATCACCTCGCCCCATTCTCCCGCTTTCAATCACCCCGCCCCATTCTCCCGCTTTCCATCACCCCGCCCCATTCTCCCGCTTTCCATCACCCCGCCCCATTCTCCCGCTTTCCATCACCCCGCCCCATTCTCCCGCTTTCCATCACCCCGCCCCATTCACCCGCTTTCCATCACCCCGCCCCATTCTCCCGCTTTCCATCACTCCGCCCCATTCTCCCGCTTTCCATCACCCCGCCCCATTCTCCCGCTTTCCATCACCCCGCCCCATTCTCCTGCTTTCCATCACCCAGCCCCATTCACCTGCTTTCCATCACCCAGCCCCATTCTCCCGCTTTCCATCACCCAGCCCCATTCTCCCTCTTTCCATCACCCCGCCCCATTCTCCCTCTTTCCATCACCCCGCCACATTCTCCCTCTTTCAATCGCCCCGCCCCATTCTCCCGCTTTCCATCGCCCCGCCCCATTCTCCCGCTTTCCATCGCCCCGCCCCATTCTCCCGCATTCCATCGCCCCGCCCCATTCTCCCGCATTCCATCGCCCCGCCCCATTATCCCGCTTTCCATCACCCCGCTCCATTCTCCCGCTTTCCATCACCCCCCCCATTCTCCCGCACTCCATCACCCCGCCCCATTCTCCCTCTTTCCATCACCCCGCCCCATTTTCCCGCTTTCCATCACCCCACCACATTCTCCCGCTTTCCATCACCCCGCCCCATTCGCCCGCCTTCCATCACCCCGCCCCATTCTCCCGCCTTCCATCACCCCGCCCCATTCTCCCGCTTTCCGTCACCCCGCTCCGTCACCCCGCCCCATTCTCCCGCTTTCCGTCACCCCGCCCCATTCTCCCGCTTTCCGTCACCCCGCCCCATTCTCCCGCTTTCCGTCACCCCGCCCCATTCTCCCGCTTTCCATCACCCCGCCCCGTTCTCCCGCTTTCCATCAACCCGCCCCATTCTCCCGCTTTCCATCACCCCGCCCCATTCTCCCGCTTTCCATAACCCCGCCCCATTCTCCCTCCTTCCATCACCCCGCCCCATTCTCCCGCTTTCCATCACCCCGCCCCATTCTCCCGCTTTCCATCACCCCGCCCCATTCTCCCGCTTTCCATCACCCCGCCCCATTCTCCCGCTTTCCATCACCCCGCCCTATTCTCCCGCTTTCCATCACCCCGCCCCATTCTCCCGCTTTCCATCACCCCGCCCCATTCTCCCGCATTCCACCACCCGGCCCCATTCTCCCGCTTTCCATCACCCCGCCCCATTCTCCCGCTTTCCATCACCCCGCCCCATTCTCCCGCTTTCCATCACCCCGCCCCATTCTCCCGCTTTCCATCACCCCGCCCCATTCTCCCTCCTTCCATCACCCCCCTCCTTCCATCACCCCGCCCCATTCTTTCCATCACCCCGCCCCATTCTCCCGCTTTCCATCACCCCGGCCCATTCTCCCGCTTTCCATCACCCCGCCCCATTCTCCCGCTTTCCAGCACTCCGCCCCATTCTCCTGCTTTCCATCATCCCGCCCGAATCTCCCGCTTTCCATCACCCCGCCCCATTCTCCCGCTTTCCATCACCCCGCCCCATTCTCCCTCTTTCCATCACCCCGTCCTATTCTCCCTCTTTCCATCACCCCGCCCCATTCTCCCTCTTTCCATCACCCCGCCCCATTCTCCCTCTTTCCATCACCCCGCCCCATTCTCCCTCTTTCCATCACCACGCCCCATTCTCCCTCTTTCCATAACCCCGCCTCATTCTCGCGCTTTCCATCACCCCGCCCCATCTTCCGCTTTCCATCACCCCGCCCCATTCTCCCGCTTTCCATCACCCCGCCCCATTCTCCCGCTTTCCATCACCCCGCCCCATTCTCCCGCTTTCCATCACCCCGCCCCATTCTCCCGCTTTCCATCACCCCGCCCTATTCTCCCGCTTTCCATCACCCCGCCCCATTCTCCCGCTTTCCATCACCCCGCCCCATTCTCCCGCTTTCCACCACCCGGCCCCATTCTCCCACTTTCCATCACCCCGCCCCATTCTCCCGCTTTCCATCACCCCGCCCCATTCTCCCGCTTTCCATCACCCCGCCCCATTCTCCCGCTTTCCATCACCCCGCCCCATTCTCCCGCTTTCCATCACCCCGCCCCATTCTCCCGCTTTCCATCACCCCGCCCTATTCTCCCGCTTTCCATCACCCGGCCCCATTCTCCCGCTTTCCATCACCCCGCCCCATTCTCCCGCTTTCCATCACCCCGCCCCATTCTCCCGCTTTCCATCACCCCGCCCCATTCTCCCGCTTTCCATCACCCCGCCCCATTCTCCCTCCTTCCATCACCCCCCTCCTTCCATCACCCCGCCCCATTCTCCCGCTTTCCATCACCCCGCCCCATTCTCCCGCTTTCCATCACCCCGGCCCATTCTCCCGCTTTCCATCACCCCGCCCCATTCTCCCGCTTTCCAGCACTCCGCCCCATTCTCCTGCTTTCCATCATCCCGCCCGAATCTCCCGCTTTCCATCACCCCGCCCCATTCTCCCGCTTTCCATCACCCCGCCCCATTCTCCCTCTTTCCATCACCCCGTCCTATTCTCCCTCTTTCCATCACCCCGCCCCATTCTCCCTCTTTCCATCACCCCGCCCCATTCTCCCTCTTTCCATCACCCCGCCCCATTCTCCCTCTTTCCATCACCACGCCCCATTCTCCCTCTTTCCATAACCCCGCCTCATTCTCGCGCTTTCCATCACCCCGCCCCATCTTCCGCTTTCCATCACCCCGCCCCATTCTCCCGCTTTCCATCACCCCGCCCCATTCTCCCGCTTTCCAGCACCCCGCCCCATTCTCTCGCTTTCCATCACCCCGCCCCATTCTCCCGCGTACCATCACCCCGCCCCATTCTTCCGCTTTCCATCACCCCGCCCCATTCTCCCTCTTTCCATCACCCCGCCCCATTCTCCCTCTTTCCATCACCCCGCCCCATTCTCCCGCTTTCCATCACCCCGCCCCATTCTCCCTCTTTCCATCATCCCGCCCCATTCTCCCTCTTTCCATCACCCCACCCCATTCTCCCTCTTTCCATCACCCCGCCCCATTCTCCCTCTTTTCATAACCCCGCCCCATTCTCCCGCTTTCCAACACCCCGCCCCATTCTCCCGCTTTCCATCACGCCGCCCCATTCTCCCGTTTTCCATCACCCCGCCCCATTCTCCCGCTTTCCATCACCCCGCCCCATTCTCCCGCTTTCCACGACCCGCCCGATTCTCCCGCATTCCATCACTTTGCCCCATTCTCCCGCTTTCCATCGCCCCGCCCCATTCTCCCTCTTTCCATCACCCCGCCCCATTCTCCCGCTTTCCATCACCCCCCCCATTCTCCCTCTTTCCATCACCCCGCCCATTCTCCCTCTTTCCATCACCCCGCCCCATTCTCCCTCTTTCCATAACCCCGCCCCATTCTCCCGCTTTCCATCACCCCGCCCTATTCTCCCGCTTTCCATCACCCCGCCCCATTCTCCCGCTTTCCATCACCCCGCCCCATTCTCCCGCTTTCCACCACCCGGCCCCATTCTCCCACTTTCCATCACCCCGCCCCATTCTCCCGCTTTCCATCACCCCGCCCCATTCTCCCGCTTTCCATCACCCCGCCCCATTCTCCCGCTTTCCATCACCCCGCCCCATTCTCCCGCTTTCCATCACCCCGCCCCATTCTCCCGCTTTCCATCACCCCGCCCTATTCTCCCGCTTTCCATCACCCGGCCCCATTCTCCCGCTTTCCATCACCCCGCCCCATTCTCCCGCTTTCCATCACCCCGCCCCATTCTCCCGCTTTCCATCACCCCGCCCCATTCTCCCGCTTTCCATCACCCCGCCCCATTCTCCCTCCTTCCATCACCCCCCTCCTTCCATCACCCCGCCCCATTCTCCCGCTTTCCATCACCCCGCCCCATTCTCCCGCTTTCCATCACCCCGGCCCATTCTCCCGCTTTCCATCACCCCGCCCCATTCTCCCGCTTTCCAGCACTCCGCCCCATTCTCCTGCTTTCCATCATCCCGCCCGAATCTCCCGCTTTCCATCACCCCGCCCCATTCTCCCGCTTTCCATCACCCCGCCCCATTCTCCCTCTTTCCATCACCCCGTCCTATTCTCCCTCTTTCCATCACCCCGCCCCATTCTCCCTCTTTCCATCACCCCGCCCCATTCTCCCTCTTTCCATCACCCCGCCCCATTCTCCCTCTTTCCATCACCACGCCCCATTCTCCCTCTTTCCATAACCCCGCCTCATTCTCGCGCTTTCCATCACCCCGCCCCATCTTCCGCTTTCCATCACCCCGCCCCATTCTCCCGCTTTCCATCACCCCGCCCCATTCTCCCGCTTTCCAGCACCCCGCCCCATTCTCTCGCTTTCCATCACCCCGCCCCATTCTCCCGCGTACCATCACCCCGCCCCATTCTTCCGCTTTCCATCACCCCGCCCCATTCTCCCTCTTTCCATCACCCCGCCCCATTCTCCCTCTTTCCATCACCCCGCCCCATTCTCCCGCTTTCCATCACCCCGCCCCATTCTCCCTCTTTCCATCATCCCGCCCCATTCTCCCTCTTTCCATCACCCCACCCCATTCTCCCTCTTTCCATCACCCCGCCCCATTCTCCCTCTTTTCATAACCCCGCCCCATTCTCCCGCTTTCCAACACCCCGCCCCATTCTCCCGCTTTCCATCACGCCGCCCCATTCTCCCGTTTTCCATCACCCCGCCCCATTCTCCCGCTTTCCATCACCCCGCCCCATTCTCCCGCTTTCCACGACCCGCCCGATTCTCCCGCATTCCATCACTTTGCCCCATTCTCCCGCTTTCCATCGCCCCGCCCCATTCTCCCTCTTTCCATCACCCCGCCCCATTCTCCCGCTTTCCATCACCCCCCCCATTCTCCCTCTTTCCATCACCCCACCCATTCTCCCTCTTTCCATCACCCCGCCCCATTCTCCCTCTTTCCATAACCCCGCCCCATTCTCCCGCTTTCCATCACCCCGCACCATTCTCCCTCTTTCCATCACTAGGTTAGACTATTTTGTGCTAGTCCACTAGGTTAGACTATTTTCCACATCCACAACAAGTGTTTCCATTTCGTTCCGTGTGGTTCTCAAAATTTGAGCGGCTGGACTCTGCCTGGTACGCCCATTATAGGTGCGCATACTGACCAGAATGCCCAACACACCACTTTGACTGGTCCACTGCATTGGATGCCTCTTCTTTTGCACTAGTCCACTAGATTAGACTATTTTCCACATCCACAACAAGTGTTTCTATTTAGTTCCATGTGGCTCACAAGATTTGAGCTCCTGAACTATGCGTGATACGCCCATTATAGGTGCGCATAATGACCAGACTGCCCAACGCACCACTTTGACTGGTCCACTGCATTGGATGCGTCTTCTTTTGTGCTAGTCCACTAGATTAGACTTTTTTTCCACATCCGCAACAATTGTTTCCATTTCGTTCCATGTGGTTCTCAAGATTTGAGCGCCTGAACTCTGCCTGGTACGCCCATTATAGGTGCGCATACTGACCAGACTGCCCAGCGCACCACTTTGACTGGTCCACTGCATTGGATGCCTCTTCTTTTGCGCTAGTCCACTAGATTAGACTATTGTCCACATCCGCAACAAGTGTTTCCATTTCGTTCCATGTGGTTCTCAAAATTTGAGCGCCTGAACTCTGCGTGGTACGCCCATTATAGGTGCGCATACAGACCAGACTGCCCAGCGCACCACTTTGACTTGTCCACTGCATTGGATGCCTCTTCTTTTGCGCTAGTCCACTAGATTAGACTATTGTCCACATCCGCAACAAGTGTTTCCATTTCGTTCCATGTGGTTCTCAAAATTTGAGCGCCTGAACTCTGCGTGGTACGCCCATTATAGGTGCGCATACAGACCAGACTGCCCAGCGCACCACTTTGACTGGTCCACTGCATTGGATGCCTCTTCTTTTGCGCTAGTCCACTAGATTAGACTTGTTTCCATTTTGTTCCATGTGGTTCTTCAAATTTGAGCGCCTGAACTCTGCGTGGTACGCCCATTATAGGTGCGCATACAGACCAGACTGCCCAACGCACCACTTTGACTGGTCCACTGCATTGGATGCCTCTTCATTTGCGCTAGTCCACTAGATTAGACTATTTTCCACATCCGCAACAATTGTTTCCATTTCGTTCCATGTGGTTCTTCAAATTTGAGCGCCTGAACTCTGCGTGGTACGCCCATTATAGGTGCGCATACTGACCGGACTGCCCAACGCACCACTTTGACTGGTCCACTGCATTGGATGCCTCTTCATTTGCGCTAGTCTACTAGATTAGACTATTTTCCACATCCGCAACAATTGTTTCCATTTCGTTCCATGTGGTTCTTCAAATTTGAGCGCCTGAACTCTGCATGGTACGCCCATTATAGGTGCGCATACTGACCGGACTGCCCAACGCATCACTTTGACTGGTCCACTGCATTGGATGCCTCTTCATTTGCGCTAGTCCACTAGATTAGACTATTTTCCACATCCGCAACAATTGTTCCATGTGGTTCTTAAAATATGAGCGCCTGAACTCTGCGTGGTACGCCCATTATAGGTGCGCATACTGACCAGACTGCCCAGCGCATCACTTTGACTGGTCCACTGCATTGGATGCCTCTTCTTTTGCGCTAGTCCACTAGATTAGACTATTTTCCACATCCGCAACAATTGTTTCCATTTCGTTCCACGTGGTTCTCAAAATTTGAGCGGCTCAACTATGCGTGGTACGCCCATTATAGGTGCGCATACTGACTGGACTGCCCAACGCATCACTTTGACTGGTCCACTGCATTGGATGCGTCTTCTTTTGCGCTAGTCCACTAGATTAGACTATTTTCCACATCCGCAACAATTGTTTCCATTTCGTTCCATGTGGTTCTAAAAATATGAGCGCCTGAACTCTGCGTGGTACGCCCATTATAGGTGCGCATACTGACCGGACTGCCCCACGCACCACTTTGACTGGTCCACTGCATTGGATGCCTCTTCTTTTGTGCTAGTCCACTAGATTAGACTATTTTCCACATCCGCAACAATTGTTCCATGTGGTTCTTAAAATATGAGCGCCTGAACTCTGCGTGGTACGCCCATTATAGGTGCGCATACTGACCAGACTGCCCAGCGCATCACTTTGACTGGTCCACTGCATTGGATGCCTCTTCTTTTGCGCTAGTCCACTAGATTAGACTATTTTCGACATCCGCAACAATTGTTTCCATTTCGTTCCATGTGGTTCTTCAAATTTGAGCGCCTGAACTCTGCGTGGTACGCCCATTATAGGTGCGCATACTGACCAGACTGCCCAACGCACCACTTTGACTGGTCCACTGCATTGGATGCCTCTTCATTTGCGCTAGTCCACTAGATTAGACTATTTTCCACATCCGCAACAATTGTTTCCATTTCGTTCCATGTGGTTCTTCAAATTTGAGCGCCTGAACTCTGCGTGGTACGCCCATTATAGGTGCGCATACTGACCGGACTGCCCAACGCATCACTTTGACTGGTCCACTGCATTGGATGCCTCTTCATTTGCGCTAGTCCATTAGATTAGACTATTTTCCACATCCGCAACAATTGTTTCCATTTCGTTCCACGTGGTTTTCAAAATTTGAGCGGCTCAACTATGCGTGGTACGCCCATTATAGGTGCGCATACTGACCGGACTGCCCAACGCATCACTTTGACTGGTCCACTGCATTGGATGCGTCTTCTTTTGCGCTAGTCCACTAGATTTGACTATTTTCCACATCCGCAACAATTGTTTCCATTTCGTTCCATGTGGTTCTTAAAATATGAGCGCCTGAACTCTGCGTGGTACGCCCATTATAGGTGCGCATACTGACCGGACTGCCCCACGCACCACTTTGACTGGTCCACTGCATTGGATGCCTCTTCTTTTGTGCTAGTCCACTAGATTAGACTATTTTCCACATCCGCAACAATTGTTCCATGTGGTTCTTAAAATATGAGCGCCTGAACTCTGCGTGGTACGCCCATTATAGGTGCGCATACTGACCGGACTGCCCCACGCACCACTTTGACTGGTCCACTGCATTGGATGCCTCTTCTTTTGTGCTAGTCCACTAGATTAGACTATTTTCCACATCCACAACAAGTGTTTCCATTTCGTTCCATGTGGTTCTCGAAATTTGAGCGCCTGAACTCTGCGTGGTACGCCCTTTATAGGTTCGCATACTGACCAGACAGCCCAACGCATCACTTTGACTTGTCCACTGCATTGGATGCCTCTTCTTTTGCGCTAGTCCACTAGATTAGACTATTTTCCACATCCACAACAAGTGCTTCCATTTCGTTCCATGTGGTTCTCGAAATTTGAGCGCCTGAACTCTGCGTGGTACGCCCATTATAGGTGCGCATACTGACCAGACAGCCCAACGCACCACTTTGACTGGTCCACTGCATTGGATGCCTCTTCTTTTGCGCTAGTCCACTAGATTAGACTATTTTCCACATCCACAACAAGTGCTTCCATTTCGTTCCATGTGGTTCTCGAAATTTGAGCGCCTGAACTCTGCGTGGTACGCCCATTATAGGTGCGCATACTGACCAGACTGCCCAACGCACCACTTTGACTGGTCCACTGCATTGGATGCCTCTTCTTTTGCGCTAGTCCACTAGATTAGACTATTTTCCACATCCACAACAAGTGCTTCCATTTCGTTCCATGTGGTTCTCGAAATTTGAGCGCCTGAACTCTGCGTGGTACGCCCATTATAGGTGCGCATACCGACCAGACTGCCCAACGCACCACTTTGACTGGTCCACTGCATTGGATGCCTCTTCTTTTGCGCTAGTCCACTAGATTAGACTATTTTCCACATCCACAACAAGTGCTTCCATTTCGTTCCATGTGGTTCTCGAAATTTGAGCGCCTGAACTCTGCGTGGTACGCCCATTATAGGTGCGCATACCGACCAGACTGCCCAACGCACCACTTTGACTGGTCCACTGCATTGGATGCCTCTTCTTTTGCGCTAGTCCACTAGATTAGACTATTTTCCACATCCACAACAAGTGCTTCCATTTCGTTCCATGTGGTTCTCGAAATTTGAGCGCCTGAACTCTGCGTGGTACGCCCATTATAGGTGCGCATACCGACCAGACTGCCCAACGCACCACTTTGACTGGTCCACTGCATTGGATGCCTCTTCTTTTGCGCTAGTCCACTAGATTAGACTATTTTCCACATCCACAACAAGTGCTTCCATTTCGTTCCATGTGGTTCTCGAAATTTGAGCGCCTGAACTCTGCGTGGTACGCCCATTATAGGTGCGCATACCGACCAGACTGCCCAACGCACCACTTTGACTGGTCCACTGCATTGGATGCCTCTTCTTTTGCGCTAGTCCACTAGATTAGACTATTTTCCACATCCACAACAAGTGCTTCCATTTCGTTCCATGTGGTTCTCGAAATTTGAGCGCCTGAACTCTGCGTGGTACGCCCATTATAGGTGCGCATACCGACCAGACTGCCCAACGCACCACTTTGACTGGTCCACTGCATTGGATGCCTCTTCTTTTGCGCTAGTCCACTAGATTAGACTATTTTCCACATCCACAACAAGTGCTTCCATTTCGTTCCATGTGGTTCTCGAAATTTGAGCGCCTGAACTCTGCGTGGTACGCCCATTATAGGTGCGCATACCGACCAGACTGCCCAACGCACCACTTTGACTGGTCCACTGCATTGGATGCCTCTTCTTTTGCGCTAGTCCACTAGACTAGACTATTTTCCACATCCACAACAAGTGCTTCCATTTCGTTCCATGTGGTTCTCGAAATTTGAGCGCCTGAACTCTGCGTGGTACGCCCATTATAGGTGCGCATACCGACCAGACTGCCCAACGCACCACTTTGACTGGTCCACTGCATTGGATGCCTCTTCTTTTGCGCTAGTCCACTAGACTAGACTATTTTCCACATCCACAACAAGTGCTTCCATTTCGTTCCATGTGGTTCTCGAAATTTGAGCGCCTGAACTCTGCGTGG